CCTGAGATGTGTGACGTTTTATAATGTTTTGTCATAAAACTGTGATATAACTGAAACAGAATTTTAACGGGTTACATAGTTCTTAAGGAATCATGGAATCATCACAGAATGGTTTGGGTTGGCAGGGACCTTAAATTAGATCATCCAGTTCCAACCCCCTGGCATGGGCAGGGACACCTTCCACTAGACCAGGTTGCTCAAAGACACATCCAGCCTGGCCATGAACACCTCCAGAGATGGGGCAGCCACAACTTCTCTGGGCAACCTGTTCCAGTGCCTCACCACCTGCACAGTAAAGAGTTTCTTCCTAACATCTAATCTAAATCTACTCTCAGTTTGAAGCCATTTCCGCTTGTCCTCTCACTACATGCCCTTCTAAAAATTTCCTCTCTTGCTCTCTGCAGGCTCCCTTTAGGTACTGGAAGGGGCTCTAAGGTTTCTCCAGAGCCTTCTCTCTCCAGGGTGAACAACCTCAACTCTCTCATCCTGTCCTCATGGGAGATCATCTTCATGGCCCTCCTCTGGACTCACTCCAGCAGGTCCCTATCTTTCCTGTGCTGGGGACCCCAGAGCTGGATGAAGTACCCAAGGTGGGGTCTCACGAGAATAAACACCTACTATTTTAAAAGTGCTCTAAGCAGTGCTGGTAACTTTCTGTTTTGGTACAAATTCTGTCTTAAAGATCAGTAGGAAATAGGAAGTTGGAATGCAATGTTTTCACAAAAATAATCCTCTGTATCAATTCAATTATGATTGAAGCATTGACAATTTGACTATACATAAGCAAAGCTGATTTTTAAATTTCCTTTATATTAAATAATTTAACCACATGAATGAAGAACAAGGTTAAAATTAATATTTTTACAATTCAAACATATTTCTAATAAAGTTGGCAAGCACAGTAAGCATTATTTTTCAGTTTACATCATCCCAAATAAAAAGAAAAAAACAAACAGACCACAATTGATATATATTACTGAAAACAAAACAGATCCCCATACCATTTGGTAGCAGAGCTGCAGTATTATCTTGATCAATTTTTGTGTTATAGGTAAGGGCGTAGCACGAACCTTTAATAGTAAAAGAGAAAACAATGAGATTACACAGTTTTTAAAGACAGGCATGACAATATAAGCAATTCACCTCACGATAACCAAACATGCCAAATACCACCTGAATCACTCTAAACCCTTGTGTTTTCATCAAGTAACTTTCTTCCACCTTCTCAAGCAAAATAGCATTTTTATTATTTTTATAAGCCTTGGACTGGCAACATTTTAAAGAATCTATAATATGGATAACATTAACAATATGCCCCAATACGGAAACACTTCCTTCCGTTCCACCTGTGACTCTCCCCAGTCAGCATACAGAAAAACCAATTTTTTTCCAGACACATTCCTATTCCCAGACCACACAAAGACAAGGGGAAAGACACTCACATTACTAAATATATTTTGTAGCATTATCTGCCACTAAACAATTTTGATTTTTAAAATAGAAGTGTCAGATCCTGTGAACTCTGCACACAAATGTCATATTGCTTCCAGAAAACTACTGGCATAAAAGAACATTGATGAGATTAAAGGAAGTACGAAAAGAGTCCCACACTGAGCAAGTAACAGATCTCTTTTTCTCCTATTTCATCTGCATGTTCTCTGTTCTCCTCATCTTTTTTCCCTGTAAAATTTTTGTTTTTCCTCCCTGGCTGTCAGCTGAAGAGTACAAGCCAAAGAAGTGGGCCCTGCAAGACGAAAACAGCATAGTCTGAGTATGCCACAGCAAGCTGGCTGGGCAGAGGCTGTATCTTTCTTCATATCCTCTTTACTCCTGCTATGTAAGGATGAGCTGCTGCAGCTCCATTAGCAAAAAACCAAAAAAATAAGGAAGCATATTTTTTCTCTTGGCTGCTGTGTAACACAGCTCTTCGTTGAAATATGAAGGAATGAGAAAGGGAGAAGGGACTCGATTTCGACAGGAATCTGCATAAAGATAAGCTGTGGAAGAAACAGGTGTGAGGATACATGGAAGCCTTCTTGATAGCTGGCTTGCAGAATTAAGACAGAATAGGGAGAAATTAATAAGCAACATTGATAGGAGTTTTGGACCCAGTGGGTGTAAATAAATATTTACACATCACAAAGCAGAAAAAAGCAAATAAAGAAACTCATGCAGAATTTGCTTAGTACTTTTCCTTCCCTTCCTTTAGAGCATTTTTCAGAATAAATAATAATAAATGGATTTCACTGTGCTATGAAAAAAATACATTATTACTGCATCTGTCATGTTCTGATTCTCTCCTTACCTTTCTTCACGAAAGCATCAATGAACTCGTGAGTGACTAGTTCGTGAATGGATAAATTCCTCACCAGGTAGTACTCTCCAATATCTGCAATTGTGCTTTTCAGCACTTCAGGCAGCAGGGCACATTCCGGGATCAAAAAAGATACCTATTAGGAACATATTTGTAATGTAAATCCTATGTAAAAATCTGTTCTGGATAAAAATCCAAACAAACAAAAAACAAGAAATACAAAAGAAAACCTCTACTTTTCAGACATCAGTATATTACACCCAAATGAGAGGAAAAAAGTAACATCAAGTGATTGTCTTCAAAATGTATCCATTTCCGTAAAGTCTCAAGGTACACCAAATACGTTATTTGAGGGTTTTTTTTTGCATTTTATATGTTATACTAACAGTATTTTATGTGTGTATGTAAAGACATGACTGTACACAATATGAGTTAATAGAAGACCCGATTTCACATCGTTATACAGCTAGCTCAATGTTACACTGGAACACCTCCTTCAGCCCTTGCTGCCCCATTTGTTGAAGAAGTTGTAACCAAATAGGTAGGCTAAGCATTTAGTGGAAAAGACAAAAGCAGAATTAGTTTTTGAATCGATACATTCTCCTGTGTAGAATACTTTAGAGCTCATAAGAGCAAACGCACCACCAGAACAATACCTGAAGACAGGCTTACAATTTTCAAATGGAAGTCACAAGACGTGCAGTAAGGCTACACCTTCTGTAGCAGTGCTTTAATTTAACAGAGGAAACTGATTTTCAACAGGGATCAGCATCCAGCTTTTCTTACTAAACTCAGCATTCAGTCCTTTGGTTCAATTGCCTATCTTTAATTTACCTTTTGCTTGAAACCTTTCTGGTACGTGCTCCATAGTCAAAAGAACGCTTCAGTCCAGCAGATCAGAGAAAATAAGGTTATTACATGGCCAATCATGAAGCTTCCCAAGCAGCATAAAGGTCTGTCCCCTTGCTCCTCCCTCCATCCCTCAATAAACTTCTTTCCCAAAGCTCTTGGAGTACAGGTACATATCTCCTTTGGCATAGATGTGGAAGAGAAGCAGGTACTGACAGATGGGCTGCCTGCCACACAAGTAGAAAGCTTTCTAATTAGCTGGTAAAAAACATGACTAAGGAATTTAAGGAGGAATTTCTTCATAGAAAGGGTGATTAGACACTGGAATGGGCCACCCAGGGAGATCATGGAGTCACCATCCCCTGAGGCGTCTAAGGAAAGACTGGAGTGAGTGCAGCGGTCTAGCTGACATGGTGTTAGGCCATAAATACATACAACAAAGGACTCTGATCATCTGAGAGGTCTTTTCCAACCTAACCGATTCCGTGATTCTTTGAGACCACAAGAGGGTCTGACTGGAACTTACAACAGTCAAAGACACGAGAGCGAGCTGCCAAAACTGGACATCCCAACACTGAGGTGTCCAAAACAACGGAGCAGTTGACCACTGCATCACGATACTTTGACAGAAGCAAGGACAAAATGACGAAATGCGAGAGGGCTTTCAGGTTGCCATCTGCAGCCAGACTTCAGCCAAAGCCTCCCTCGCTGCTGAGGGAGCCCCTCAGCCCCTCCCTGCTGGAATCTGTGGGTGCCGCTCCCGGTGGGACTTGCTGACAAAGCGCTGTTACCTCTTCCAGTGGCTCGCCCTCTTCTCCTCCCTTCTACAGGTCGGACTCGATGACCTCAGAGGTCTTTTCCAACCTAATTGATTCCGCGCTTCCTCGCGCCAGCGCGGTCTTGCACTCTCTGAGGCGCTGCGCGACACCACAAACCCAGCGGGGGCTAATTGCTCTTCCACACCCCTCACCCCGCGCGGGTGGAGCACCAGCGACGCGCCGCTAGGAGCGGCTGGCCGGCAGAACCGCCAGAGGGGATCGGGGATCCCTCTGTCCCGCCGGGGAGGCCCGGGCGGCAGCTCCTTTGCCCCGCTCCCAACCTCAGGACGCTCAGGCCCGCCCCGCCCGGCCGGGCTCGCGCCGTCCCGCGCCACTCACGCGGCAGCTGTAGGCGTGGTCCCGCACGTGCGCCGCGTGCCGCGAGCGCGGGTGCCGCGCGTGGCCCTTCTCGCACACCAGCAGGTGCCGCGGCACCCGCGCGAGACGGGCCGGCATCTTCCCAAACCCCGCCGCTCCTTCTCCCCGCTCCTCCTCCTCCTCCTCCGCCCACCGGGAGCGGCCGGCCGCCGGCAGGAGGGCGGGGAAGGGGCCGCGCCGTGAGGTCACGTCCGCCGGCTGCGGCGGTGCCGCTGCTTCCGCCGTGGGGCGCGGGGGTTCAGGGGAGCTGCCCGTGCCCTCCCGGGGCGTGTGGGAGATCGGGGCGCTCGGTCCCCGCGGGGTCCGAACAGCCCCGGCACCCGCTCGGCTGCGTGTGCAGCTGCGGTAGTGAGCGATGGTTAAAGCATGTGCGTGCCAGCGCCCAGAGGGAGCTCACGGGAGCTGGAGAGGGACTGCTTACGGGGGGATGGCTTCAAACTGAAAGGGAGTAGGTTTACATTAGATATGAAGGAGAAATTCTTTGCTGTGAGACTGCTGAGGCACTGGAACAGGTTGCTCAAAAAAGCTGGCGATGCCCCATCCCTAGAGGTGTTCAAGGCCAGGGTGGATGGAGCTCTGAGCAGCCTGGTGTAGTGAAAGGTGTCCCTGCCCATGGCAGGGGCGTTGGAACCATATATCATCTTTGAGGTTCCTTCCAGCCCAAACCATTCTGTGACTCACAAGTTGCTCTGCAGATATTGAGGGGCAGTGTTGAAAGGGCCTCAGGATTCCTGCAAGTCTGCTCAGTTAAGCAAATACTGCACAAGGGCCATGGGATAGGGCCCTGCCTCCCATGTGTTGTCTCACTGCCCCTTCTGCCCCTTATATATTTTATATAAAGAATGCACAAAAATTTCCTCTTTTCTGTCTTCCTGCAGTATTTCTTCTCCCACTCCCCTACCTTTGTGGCTCCTGATTTAATTTAAAATGGTACCAAGCAACTGTCTTGGTAGTTGCTGTTTCTGTACACTGTATGAGGCTGTATGTAACCTTACCTTAAACACCACTCATGTCTGTTCACCAAAAGTCCATCGAGCTGGCAAACCTGACTCTTGATTTTGATGTCAGTTTTACAACAGTTGTTCTAGAGATCCCAGGCTTGCCCTGTGGAGATCTTGACCTGCTATTTCTCGATGAGACACTCAGTATTAACACTCAGGCGTACATGAGTGATTATTTCTCTCAAGAGATGTTGAGGGGAATAGTTTCTTCAATGTATATTAATATAGGAACTTTGTTTAGTGAAGAAAAGTATAGGTTACGGTAAGGTCATTTGTTCCAACAACTGCAGTGTTACACAGATATGAACCATCAACTACGCTAAGACTTTACTCATTCACCAGCTATATACCTTGGTGGTTTGATATCATAACTCGAGCACTCTTGCTCACTGCCTGGTCAGGTATTGCCTGTTTGGCTGAGGTAAGCAGGTAGCAATTTGGTTTTCTAGATGTTCCAATCTGATGAATTTATGTTACGTTACAGCTCCAGCTTCAGCAGTGAATAGGCCCAGGCTCTGCTATTGGCACAGACTGCAGTTTCCTGGTGCTCTGTCTATGTTTGGGTCTGCTCCATGTCGCTGGCTTAGTAGCTAGGAGCAGCTCGCAGTGTGAGGTCTGTGTTACAGAGCCATGATTGCCCAGATGGAAGGAGGAATGCTACCCAGGAGTTACTAGTCCAGTGTTTCTGGTTCGTTAGGCTAATTTAGACCCACTTGTTTCAGGGCACGTGCTTTCTGAGCGCTTGTGTGCTGACATCAGGATGCTGCTACTCGGAACTCGGCGGCTTGTGTCCTCCATTGCGTGAGGCTGAGATGAAACTGCACGTCGTGAACTCGCTGGCTCATTAATGCCTGTGGAGGAGGGCTGAATTCTGCACTCACGTTGCCTGTATAAATTGGATTGATTGGATTATTATGAATCAAAAAAAAGGCTATGTAATCAGGGTAACCTTCTAATTTAAAGCATGCAAACATTAATGGGAAAAGCACTACAGGATTAATGTCAGTTATTACCATACCCGCAAGCAGAAGCCTCTGTGTGCAGATGAGCATCACACTGCGATGATCAGAAAGCTTGTTCTACTACAGGGGTGAAAAGTTCAAGCCTCTGATCAATAAGCCCAGGGAGCCAGGCAGGAAATTCAGCTGTACTCAGAGCAGCATGTGGAGGTGGTTTTTTTGTGTGTGTGTGTGTGTTTTGGTTTTGTTTTGGTGTGCTTTTATTTGTTTTGTGGGTGTTCTGTTGTTTGGGTTTTTTGTGAGCTTCTCTATGCTAATAAAATTTATGCTTTCTGCTAGAGATACAAAAGGATGGGAAAAGAAATGAGGGAAAAATATGTTGGGGAAGGGTCAAGAGAGTCAAGATTCATGGTAGCATATTAAGTCAGTATTTTATGGATTCTGGCAGGAGTGTAGTTCACTGCAGCTCAGTGGAGCATTGAAGGATTCACATCACTGCTGGTTCATATGTCAGGCAATTAATCTTAACCCACTCTTACTCATATATGTTGGCTGTTCTATTATAGAGTATGTATGTTTTAGAGAACTTCCTGAAGATACTGAACTACGTTACAAAAAGCCCACTTAGCTGTCTAGTAGTCTGTGCTGCAACATAAAGAATTTCCCCATCTTTAAATTATATATATGTGTGTGTGTGTGTTTGTATGCTAATTGTTGGTTAATGCTGACATTTTTACAGTGGTCATTACAGTTTTATGAGTAATTTGGTATGGGATTTCTGTATACTGCAAAAAAACTTCAAACCTTTTAAGCTTTAAGTAATTTAAGATTTAAAGCTATCACAATTTTCCCAAGGATTTCAAATCTGTGACAGGGTAATGCAGTTCTACAGCAATTCATTTTCTGCTTGCTTGAAGACAGTTACAGGCTGTAGTAAAGAGGAAAGGATTGCCTTGAGGCAACTTGTGGTAATAGCTTGGAATACAGAAGGATCTCAAATATTTCCTGAGACTGGTGAAATTCAATTCTGTTTTGGTATAAAATGACAGAGTTTGGAAAGAACAGTCTAATCTTCACATTATGTACAATATCTGTAGTTGTGAAGCCTAGCTGCTTCTTGCATGTTTTTTTTGGTTTTTTTTTTTTTTTTTACTGTAGAAGGACTGTCTTAACTCAATCTTTCTGCTGTATTTTCTGATTTTACAAACAACATTATTAAGAGACTTAGAGTTTCATAAAATCAAACCTAAAGAAATTATCTCAGTATTTTGAAATTGGTTTGTGCCTTTAAGATGAATCACAGTATTTTTCTTTTCAGTCACTGTTTTTTCTTTCTTAAATTGTGTTGACTGCAGAAGGAAGGAAGTTGTCTAGATCTTTTAACCTTGGCTATTGTAATTAGTGCTTTGTAAAACAAAAAACAGATACCTCTGGTGCCATGTTCATCTGAAATTAATAAGTGCATAAGAGTGAAACCCAGCAATTTACTTGATCAACTGTTTTTTTCGCTGAGGAAAGTGGAATATGTGGACAGTTAGTTTTATACCCTCTTTTTTATGCACTTCAGTCCATATAGTCAGAGCAGTGATGGAGTGTAAAAAAGATCCCACTCAGACTTGTTCTTCAAGGGGATTACAGACAAAGCTCTGCCAAGCTACTCCAGAAATCAGTTGTTCAAGAAAGGAAGAATACTGAACGCTAACCATGGACAAAGTGGTTGGATTTGGTTTAAAATACAATTAAAAAACCCCAAACAACCAACCATCTGATCTGTTTCTTTTAGAGTTAAAGCCCTCAGTAATCTGGGAAACCTCATACTCACTCAGTTTTGTGGTATTACAGTGGGAGAAGAAATGTGAGGGAGAATTCCTTCAGTAAGGTTCTGGGGAACAGGAGTGTATTTCATCTATATTCCAGCAGGGTCCTCACCTCCACTTGCCTCCTAAGGATTAGATTTTGTCAGGCACCTGCATGGTACCAGGGAATCATTGTGCGCTATCTCCTCCTAAACAAATCAATGGGCACTCACATTATGGCTAATATAAGGCACGTGCACTCTGTTCTCTATTCACACTTCCTTGCAGTAGGTAACAATCTGTGGCCATGTTCCTCTGGTTGCCCCTTCATCTTCTGGGAAATGTCCTAGGGAGCACTTCCACACCCACCTCGACCTTCCACAAGCAATAAATATGTGTCCTTCTCCTTGTTCCTTTACAAGATGATGAAAAACTGCTGCCTTTTCCATTGCTAAGGTCTCTTCTCCTGCCACTACATATAACAGGCATTATTTCTCCTCAAATTGACTAACCAGTTAACATGGTCATGTTAAACTTGTCAGAGCAGTTTTGTTCTCAATATGTACATAATTTTTCCAGTTGTATGAAGTGGTGTGCTAAAGGGTATTAGTTGTCCCTGCACAAATTATCTTGATAGTATCCTTAGAGCATTTAATTTCTAGAAACATTAGTGCTGCTCCTGGGATTGCAGCAGATCACACTGTTACTTTAATACACTGTCATGAAGATTCAGAATGTAGAGCAAAGGGAAAATAAAACTAAGCAGACCTTCCTGTACACACCTTAAAAATAAAATGTGTGTAGATTTAGAAATAGAATGCATTTTCTTTTAAGACCAGTGCAGAGTATTTTTTTCCTGTCACACCTCCAGCTTCCAGACTGCTTCAAGGAGAGGATTTGCCATTAGCACCAGTAAATCAGTAATATTTCCTGTACCTCTTATTGTGCAGTCCTTTGTTTGTTAATGCATATTGGCAGTAAGTATTTTGATTGCCACTGGCATTTTTCCCCTAATAAACTGTTCCTCTGGCACCTCCAAACCGTAAAAGGTCCCATGCTGCACTTCACACTTCTGCAGCCTCATGTTGGGTTGGCTGTAGGTGTTTCCACCGAGGACGGACAGAGAAGTGTGGCCTTGCAGGTTCAGAGCAGTAAAATTTCAATCACCCTTTTACCTTGCAGCTTTTGAGCCATGTGGTTGCTAGTTTCAAGCAAAGAGAAGCTGGAGACATGTCCAGCAGAGGCAGAAAGCCACAGAGAGAGGAGGCTGCTCTCTGAGCCAGCTGGAAGCCTGTTTCCCCACGGCTGGATGGAGACCTTGTCTCAGCCACCCTGCCTGCACACAGGTCGTCAAAATGCAGCTACTGGAGGGCTTGGATTCTCGATTTCTCTCTCCAGTATTATATGTGAAATCAAGGAACAGAAACTGTGTAGTAATTTAAAATAACCCAAGATTAAAAAATCCTAACAAACAAAAATCATGATTCCAGGTAAGAGTAGTATTTTCAGCAGGATCTAAATGTTTAGGGAGCAGCGTGGCATTATCAAAAGTGAAGGACACAAGTTTAAAATTAGAATTCTATATTTCATTCATTTGAGCAAGATTCGAAGTTTTAGACTAGAAATACACTAAAAAAATTATCCCTGCCCCCACCCTCCAACAGGGCTTGACAGCCGCTAATGTTTAACTGGCTCATGGGATCAGAGGAAGCAACTTTGGTTCAGGAAGTATTGAAAAGACTGTGTGAAAGGTAACTATCAGATTAATGTAAATACACACATGTATATGACTATATGTAAAAAACCCTGTATGTATATGACTATAAACAAGTAAGAATATATGAGACACAGAAGCATAGATAAGAGTATAAACATACATTTTAGACTTCACTGGTTGCCTGGAGGATTAGAGCTCTCTGCAGAACATACTGAAAGGTCACCATTTCACTGCTTTTATCTGCTGCACTTAAATGTGAAAAATAAAGAAAGTGATTTGCATCTTGTTGTAGTTGAACTACTACTTCATGGGTCTTCCTGTTCTGTCATATGAATCAAGAAATGATGACTACATGGATTCAGCTGTAAACCAAAATGATAAAACCCCCTGAACATATGGCAGGAAAGAGACATAAAATTTTACATAATCATTAATCTTCAAATTGGAAAGTGACACAGGCTTCACAATTAAATAAAAACGCTCTGCATTTGGCCAAGATAAACCTTTGGAGTGAAAAGGAAGGGACTTCTTTTGGGGAATAAATGCATCCTTCTTGTGGAAGAAGTAAGAAATGCCATTTCTTCTTCACTTGGTGGGATAAGTTGAAAACAGCATATAAAATTAAGTGAAATGAAATGCAAGGAAACAGAGCAGGGTGTGAATGGCACCTTCTTCTTCAAGAACATCTTTGTTTTGGAAACAAAGTGTCTTTCAACTGAATTGTTTTTGAGCTGCTTACAAGGAGTGGCTTTTTCTTGAAGTATTTTCAAACTGAAGTGAGTTGAGTCCTTCTGCTTCACCGAGTAAAAAGATAAACAACTCAGTTTTGGCACCATTAGGTTGCGTTCACAGTCTATCATATTACAGAGACATTAGAAAGGATGCACTGAATCATGGAAGTAGCAGCCTTTAAATGTCTCCTCAGTTTGGGAGTGAAAAGAAATAGGAGACATGTGGGATTTGTCCTTTTGTTTTAGTTGGATATGAAAATGGAGACAGAAGCAGTTACAGCAGATTAGATTCCAGATACCAGCAAAGGAAACATATTTAGCTAAACTTATTCTTAAATAAAAAATATGACCTATGTATTATCTGCAGATGGTTTGCAAAAGGAACTGCCCTGAACTGTGCCAAGCCAGTACTAGGAAGAAACAGTTTAAAAGAACTTTATTAAGGTTGCAATTCATGATGATATGAATCATGATAACATTCTTTGATAAGATTTTAATGCCATCATCACATACTACATACATGGCTGGAGAAGTTAGACTTCATTTGCTTCAAATTACAAAGAATGCAAGAAGGCAAAGGATGGTCCTACCATGGAGGCAAGTCATTTTCTACCCTAAAGGGACTAAATTTTATTGCTTTCCTGCCATTAAGCACCTAGCAGTGCTATGCAAATTGCTTAAACTAACTTGGCTACCTGTTGCATGTTGCTAACTTTCTACCCCAGTAACCCAAGCAGTCAGATTTCAGAGGTACTGAGCACTTAGAGCTCTAGCTGAAATCAAAAGGAGTGATGCTCTGAGTCCATGAAAAATATTCTATACTCATAAGCAACTTCAACAGTCAAGTTGCACACTTCCAAAATGAGCACTTAGAATAAACAGACACTTTCCACCTTGGCCTTTCCGCAGCTCAGCTCTCTAATGGTAAAATCAGGAATACTTCATCTCATAGTAGTCTACTGTTTTGGAGGCACTTGAAGATACTGTGGTGCTGAGCACAATTTGAGATCCTGCGAGGAAATCCAGTCACATCGCTGGAGCAGGACTGGAATACTGTTCAGTAAGTAAGGCCTACAGCTACACTTCGAGCAGTATAGAGAAAAGCAGTGACAACACCATTGAGTAGCTGTCTATCTTGTGTGCTTAATGAGACAGTCCTGAGAGAAAAATGGCCTAAAATGCATAATTAAAGGCTGTAACCTAACTGATTTGCTCAAAAAAATAAAAAAGGGCTGCATTAAGATTATAAAGGCAATGTGACTTGGGACAATTTTTAGTGTATTGGTGCTTGAATCTGTAATCCCATCATTCTTTTAACATGGAAGTTTTTTTTTTTTTTTTTTGGTGGGTAATTAATACTAAGCTCTGTTCTGCTTTTTAAAAAAAAGGTAATGATGCACTGATTTGATGAAATGCAGCATACTGCCCATTGAAATGTGGGCACTACAAAAGAGTAGACAAACTGTATTTTTTTTTTTTTTACTGAGTTTGCAGGACAAGGTTTATGTATATTTATGTTTAAGATTGCTGGGTTTTAGCACAAACGTGGGCTAGGATACTGTCTTGAGAGAAATTGCCATTTCTTGAAGGAGCAGTAGCAGAGATGAGTTTGTATGTGTAATGAGGCATAGAATTTCAGTAGCTACACCTAGCATCATTTACCCAATTAGGTTTATATTTTACAATGCTTATAATATAACATCAGCTTGGTGTAATGTGTCTCCCAACCCTGCAGAGCAGTGACTGCTGAAATTACTCAGATGTTGCATGTACACAGATATTTGCAATTAAATACTAGCTGAATTTATTTGTTAGCTTAGGTCAAATTATTTTACCTGGCCACCAGCATTTTGTTCAGCAATTGTTCACAAATAGCCAGCATAAGTGTTGGCCAGCCTGATCTTTTATTTTTGCTAAGCTGTTCTGTGCATCCAGGTTCCTTTATTGGTTTTGTCCATGTCTACAATTTTCACAGCTCAGGCAAAAAGAATATAGTGGAGGCAGAGAAGAAGAAAACAGTTTCCTAAAATTTAGTTATTTTACTACATAAGAAATTGATTCAAGCATCTGCTTTGTTTTTCATACTAAGATGTTGCAAATCTGTTATGGCTAGAACAGTTCAAGATTTTTTTTTCAAGACAGGAAGTATCATCTTTTCAACAAAATTGCCATTGAAGAAAACGTAATTTCTTATAAAAAATAACTAACTGAAGAATGGTTTATTTCCTTACTATGAGACACAGCAACATTCTTTTTAATACCTCTGTATACGTCACATAAACTTTTATGTGACAGGTTCAGCAGCAACCTTGACTTCATATCCATACACCTCCTCCATCCTTTAACCAGTGATTTCTGCTTTCTCTTCTCCCCACTCCAGGGTGCAACAGGTCACCTCTTGAAGTGTGCTAATGCACCCTTCCATTTCTGTTTGATGATCTGTTTCTATCCTAGATTAGTACCCTAACAGGATCATGTGTGCCTTGTATTGAAAGGCTTCAATTGATTTGTTTCATATAGAAGAAGATCCTGATTTTAGAGTGTTTTCTGATCTTAAAGTGTTTGACAATGTGGTTCCACTTGCACAACAGGTGATCTTTTACATGTTACTTCAATTTTTCATTTTTGTTGTGGAAGAGGAATGTATTTATAATTAGATGAAATTGCAAAGCAATTACAATCAACCACACCACCAGATGGAGCTTCTTTTCTGCCTTTTCTGATGAAGGTGCTGAACCTATGGGACTATGGGACTTCAACTGTATTTATAGTCAATGAAATAAAAAACTCTCTTTTTATTTTTACTTCTGGTGATGCAGGAGGAAGCATCCCTGCATTCACAGACAGCTATTTCAGTGACTTCTGTTTGCATACTGTTAATGACAGCAATTGTGCCAGTCCTTTACTTTTGTAGCATTAGGCTGTGTCATGCAGTCCTGTTTCTTGTTCATGTACTTGAGAGTTTTCAAGTACAGGTTTACTTTTTAGAATAGGACACTAATATTAAAGTAGCAAGTATTTCTGCTCTTTTCCCTACTGTAACAACTATTAACATTCTTTAGAAAAACAAATCTCTCTTTATTCAGCCCACTACAAAATCTATTTTGTTCACTGAAATTCAGCTCTAAAGTCTCTTTTTTGTGCTTTTAGCAGTACTGTATTTTGTTACTGATACCTAGTCACTGGCATATATACATATATATATATATCAACTGAAGTTATGTTCATAAGTCATGAGAATCGATATAAATGACTGTCTCTCTTACAGGATATACTCTATCAGATACCTGTTTTACTATCTACTATCATAGCTAAACAATTGAGAACAAACTGTAACTGAGGCTGTCCTTGGGACATGCAGACAGACAGGGTTGAATTTACTCCTTTTCTGAGAGTTTGAAAAAATACACATTCAAGCAAAAACTTTTAATGTAGAATTTTTACAGCAAGATTACTTGGAAAGCCTATTCCTCTGTTTTAAGCCAAGTGAAAAAAAATGGAACTTACATACAACTTACCGGGCTGTGATTGCTGGACTGAAAAGGTTGGCCTGCATTTGCCAGCAGTTATTAAAACAGGCTGTATTGCACAACTCTGTTTTCCCAAAGGACAGGGAGGTATCTGAGCTGATGAGGTCAGGTTAGCATTTCATTATGCCACGTCAAACGCAACTCTAAAGACTGGCAAGGTTTTGCCAGCCGACGTCATGAAGGTCCTTCTGACCAGCTGGCAAATTCTGTTGTGTCCTAGGAGAGACCAAATGAGTTCATGCCACTATTGATTTTGAGTGAGTTACACACCTTGCTGCTCGTAACAAAGACAAACACAGAAATACAAAGCAGAATTTATGTGGGTACAAGTTCATGTTGTTTTCCATTTTCATGCCTCGTTTCCAATGGGTAAAAAAATCTAATGCCCTAGAGGGGGAAGAAAGGAGAGGGGATAAACCTAATGTCTCAGACATGTAATATTCATGGGCTAACAACTCAAAAGAGGTGGTCTAGAGACAAGTTGTTTTGTCAGGTTGTATGTAGTTTCTAGAAGTACATTTTGGAGGGTATACCAAGCATTTGGAATTTTGGAGTATCCTTAGACAAGAGGTAAACATATCTTCTGTCTGAATAAGTTTCTTTACAGAGTTTTAAGAAGACATTGGTTTTGGTTTTCTGAAGGCAGACTTCAAGGTGGCAGAGAAGGAGCAAAATCCAGCAATTTATGAGAGACAGCAAGAAAAAATAATTATTTTAATAGCTTAGCAATAGTTTTAGGGGTAGAATGCTCTTCATATCAACATACTCTGAGTAAGATAGAGCTTCTTTCACACAGAAGTCCAAAGCAATACTAGCATAATGTAGGGCAAGATTTTGATCCAAATTATGTTTTTCCTGGATTGCAAAACAAAACCAAACAAAAACCCCACAGACAAACCCCCAAACAAATGAAAACAAACCCAAACAAAAAACACCATATACATAGAGGTTTTACATGTGAGAACCTGGATCCTAGTGTTCATCAGAAACTTTTGAAAGAGATGCGGTTCTGCAACTTTCTGGAGATCCACACTAAAACAAACAAAACCCCTAAAACAAAACCCTTTTCAACTCCTATGCCGTGAATACATTTTGGAAGCTGAAACCATTTTTTCGCACTGATAATCTGAACTTTTCCTTTTCAAAGACTGTTTATTTGGGTTAAATTGTTGAAATGCAGCAGTAAGTCTATAAAGGAAGGGAGGACGGCAGTTTGTATATGGGAGGGTTTTTTATCATCATATGGTTTACTGACTGACAAATGCCTTAAAATTTTATAAAAACTTTAGATAAATACCTATAAGTATCAAAGGTATTAAGCCAAATCTTGACACCTCTAAGAACCACAAGATCCAAGCAACACTTCAGGAATCTTAGTGCAGAGAAGAATTTTGTTCAACATGGTTTTGTCACAGTTAATGCCAACTCTACTCTGAATTTAGAATCCTTTGTACCATTACTATATATTTACTTTTCATGAAGAATGGCTTTAATTTTATATCAGAGGCAGGGAAATCTTTGACCTACTGAAATCAATTACAAAACTCCACCTTCCAGGAGGTTAGCATTTCACCCAAATGAAGGGACGTTCCTTTCCTTATTGCCAAATACTGAGTATTTGTAATTGAAAAGGATATTCAACACCATTATAGGAAACACAGCCATTGCTGTAGTTCAGGAAAATGGAGTAAGTATATTTTCCTGTATTTAAAGAAATCTCTACATCCTATAAGGAACATCAGATGAAAGTCTGCTGAGACACAAGAAAAAACATACAGCAGAGATCTCTAAAAGTGATTGTCTGAGCAACTCAGAAGTCTGAAGGTTTGTACTTGCTGAGCATCCTGAAGAAATTACATTTAAATCTTTGTATTTAAGAGCTGGAAACTAAAGCAATCACTTCCATTTACTCATTTCCATTTCAGTACTTTTCCCATTACAGATCTAATGCATGTCTTCTTGAAGTACAGCTGCTTGGTTTTCCTGCTTAAAGAAGAAAATTACATCTAATAATCTAACTTCTGAGTAATTTCTATTCTAATTGTATGGACCCACTGAGATTTTCATTCAGTGTTTGACCATCCTCATAAACACAGTAAACTGAAATCCCATCCTTACTAGAAACACAGAGAAGTTAAAATTTCTGATGGGATAGGGAGCATTTTATTTTTTGTTAAAAATAATTGAGGAGGCTATTAATATCCTTGCTGACATTTCTGTAAAAGGAACATGACTGTTAAAACTGAGATGACGAACTACATAATTTTCAAAGTGAAGCAGGTACGAATGCTGCTAGCATTTGGGAAAAGATGGTATTAATTTTGTGTGTGAACTGTGATAATCCCTGCACATTTCTAAATCCCTGTAAATTGTTTCATAGTGCTTAAGAGTTATGACTCATTCACATTTTCTTATAAACTATTGTCATGGGGGATTTTCCTACCAAAGACTTAAGTAGGAAATTGGAGAGATCTCACATATTTGAACTAGGTACATTCAGAAGCAGAATACTTTCCCCTTGGACTAACTGAGAATTTTACTAGTTTTGGATTTGAAGGTTGAAGCTAATATTAAAGATGCATTAAAAGAAATGATGAACAGTATTTGAATGGGTTCCAGTATTACATTGTGTGGTCGAACTGAATCCACAGAACCCTCCAGTTAATTGACTCTGGGTGTCTGCAAACAAATATTTTAATGTTCATTTTGTTTTCAAATGATGACAACAATTGATCTAAGCATCTTGATCAATTTATTAATCTGCATAGCAAATAGAGCTCCAAACCAAAAAATCTCCAATCTAATGAGTACTGAGAAATGCATTCCCATGCAATCGTAGTGAGAAAAACAATACCATAGATTGCTTACCAGTGATTTTTGCATTCTTTTTAAAATTTCATTTTCAGTTTTCTTCTGAGGATGCAAATCCTCCTACAAGATGTGTGTGTTGAATGCAGGATAGGATCAAGGTGGGCAGCTGGGAAACAAGACAGGGGGAAATGAAAGAAGGTGTGTTGATCCTGTGTGTAGTTTATGACCTTAAACACATTCGGTCCAAGGTCAGGGAATGCAAAATGCCTCCTCACTGCAAATATGCTGTCTGTCTCTATTACTGAGAAATCTCTCTGCTTTTATCTCAACATCTTTTTTAATAACAAATGTGGTAAATTAGAAGCCTGAGATCCTGGTTGCCCTGTTCTTTTAAGAGAAGCCATTTTGAACTACATAAGAGACACTAAATGCCTCCTTAACTCATGTCCTCTGGCACGGTTTGTTGCAAAGTTGAACATCTGTTCTACAGGTTTATCTGATTTTAAATTACCCCTTTCAAAATGGTAGCGATTGATTCCAACTAAAATCCAACTTTGTATGCCTTTAATTACCTAATTTTAATTATTTTCCTGCAGTATGCGTTCATGTTGCCTTAACTGCTTTTGCTTAATTTCTGTGAATTGTGGCTCTTTTTGTAGGCCTGTTTCCAAGAGTTATGGAACATACAAGATATGTGTATTAATTGCTACCCTATGACTTAACTCTTATCAATATTTACAGTTGGTTTCGCTTTCTCCTGTCCCTTATTTTGCTTAAACCTCACACATTATTCTGTAATTTCTAGTAGTCCACATGGTTTTGCCTTATGAGCAAATGGCATATTTTTTTCCCTTTGCTGCTTAAAACATTTGTTAATGATTTGGCAAACTGGGAAAGCTTCCACAGGAGGAAGTAAGAACTGGTTTCTTCACTTCTGTTTTCCTCACCATAAAATAGATAACACTTCAAGAAAATAAAGTAGTAGTGTTGTATTTTATGAAAAGGATCTAAAACATATTGTAAGTACTAAGCACGCCTATCTACACATCATCTATTCATTTATTTTTCTTTCCAGCTTGTTAATTTTGAGGTGCCACAAACCTCAGATAGGTGAGTCATGAGGTCTCACTTCCAGGGACAGGTGAGAAAGCACCTGCATTGCAACCCCTTTTCATCACAGTGAATGTTAACAGGAGAGTGGCCCAAAATTTTCATTCCCTGCTCTGTTACAGCCACTGGCAGGTCGGGAGTGATGGTGAAAGCAGGTGACACCAGCACCTTCCCTGTCAGTAGGAAGAAGACAATTGTGATCCTCCTTGTGTTGCATCACAGACCTCAGATGAGTAACTCAGGACCATGCTCTGGGGTTTACTACCATTAATTTGAGACTGGTTAGTTCAAAGAGCCAAAATAGTGGCACACCAGATCACTTGGAGCGGACTAGGCAAAGAAATGCTCCAATGAACGGTTTATCCAACAGCCTGCTGGATGGGGCAGCTCACAGTAAAGTGCTGGTGATGAGCAGTTGATGGCAAAGTGGTGTTTGTCATGTTTTCCATTAGCACAGCGGGTACCAGCCAGAATATTTGTCCTTCATTCCTCTTCTTACAATGCTCTAACCCAAACTACAAACAAATGTCGAGTAATCAGGTTATCTGGCACTTCTACGTAACATTTTGCTGTTCAGCTCTTCTGTCAAGGTGTAGTAAGAACATCCTCACAGCAGTATCTGCTAAGAAACCTGTTTTGTGGTGTTTCTGCTGCTTTGATATTCATTCCTCTGTGAGACCCAGACTGCACACTCAGTTGAACTGCACTGTTTTCACTCACACTGGGAGGCTGCTTTTTGGCAACCAGATTGATGCTAAAAATAAAACAAGCTATGCAAAACAAACAAAAAACCTCTCCTTGCTACATCCATAGTGGGAGTATATTTCTTCAAAAAGCACCGTGTTATTTGCATATGCTTTTTAGTGTCTTTTCCATAAGAAAAAGATTGGAGGGGAGTTTCGTAATGTAGTATTTTTGCAATCATCCATGCAAATCACCCCCAGACAATACTGTGGCACACACAATGGACAGAACCAAGTTTGGAAACTTCTCAGATACGGATCTCACCGTACTAATAAAAGTATCTTGTTATGAGTATGCTGTTTACTATGCATCATGCCTAGAAAATAAAACTAAGAGGGATTCTACTTCTCTTTATTTGATTAAAAGGTAATGCATTTATTTTGATTTTCCTCTTTGATTTTTTAATTGGAAACTTTAACTATAGTCTGACCTTCTAAGAGGTCACGTGTGCACACGTGTGTGCCTCCTGAGCCTTTGGACTCGGTTTTCCACGGATACTGTTAGTACCGAGGTTAGGTAAAAAATTAAAGAGATTGGCTTACAAAATGTATCGTACTTTAAAAATGTAATGCCTTCGCAGTTTGTTTTACCTTTGGGCTTTTGTCCTCGAGCTCTGGTCTCAAAGTTTTTTCGCTGAAGTTAGAATGGGTGGAAACCAAATTAAACACAAAGGCCAGGGGTCTTAAGCCACGGGTCTCACAAAAACAGGACCCCGTGCTGCTGTCGCCCGGGATGGCGGCAGGGCGGCGGCTCAGCCCCGGTCCCGAGGGGCCGCTCATCTCCCGCCGCCTCCCGCCCCTGCGCCGCGGGCACGGCTGGAGCTCCTCGGTGCTGCCAGCACGGGGCTGGGAGGCTCCTGCTTAATCCTGACCCTCCGGGCTCTTTCTTCGGGCAATCTCCGACGGGTGGAAGCCTAAATTACGATGATGACGATGATGACAATAATAGTAATAATAATAAATTATAGCAATAACCAAGTCTGCTCCAGCAGCCCACGGCCCCGCGTTTTCCCCCGGCCTGACAGTGCGGGGCGGGGCGGGCGGCGGGGGGACCCCGGCGGGCCCCGCGGGGCGCCTCTCCCCGCTGCCGCCGCCTCCCGCAGCCCCCGCAGGGCAGGGGCCAGCGTTGCTCTCCGCTCGCTCCTCCGCGCCCTGGTAACGGCGGCCCCCGGCGGGCGGGAGGACGTGCGGGGCCGCCCGTCGCGGCTGTTTCCGCGTTGCCCGTCCGGGGAGGTCCCGCCCCCGCCCGCAGCCGCCCCAGCCCCAGCCCCGGCCCCGCGGGGAGGCTCCGGGCCCGGCGGGGGGGTGGGGCGCCCCCCGCCCGGGGCCTGCGGCGGGGGCGCCGGATAAAGCGGTGCCGGCCCGTCCGCCTGCCGGCACAGGGGCGGCCGGGACGGGCCCAGCAGGGCGCCCCGCCATGGCGAGCCCCGCACGGCCGCGGCAGGAGCTGGCGGCGGAGGAGCGGCGGCTCCGCGGCGCGGCCCCGACGGTGCCCCGCGACGCCAAGCGGGAGGCGGCGGGGGAGCGGCTGGTGCTGCTGGAGCTGCGGCGCTGCGGGCGGCCGCCGTCCCCCGGGCCCGGCGAGCGGCAAGAGGAGGGGGAGGAGGAGGAAGAGGAGGGGGAGGCGGCGGCGGGCGAAGACTGTTGCGGCAAGTGCAAGAAGCGGGTGCAGTTCGCCGACTCGCTGGGGCTGAGCCTCGCCAGCGTCAAGCACTTCAGCGACGCCGAGGAGCCGCAGGTGCCGCCCGCCGCGTTGTCCCACCTGCAGAGCCCGCCCGGCGAGGAGCGGGACCCGCCGCCGCCCGGCGGGGATCCCCCGCCGCCCGCCCTGCTCCTGGTGCCCGACTTCCCCGACGGCGGGGAGCCCACCGCCGAGCGGCTGCGGCGGCAGCGCGTCTGCCTGGAGCGGCTGGGGCGGCCCGCGGCGCCCACCGACGTGCGGGGCACCGTGCAAGTGCTGGGCGGCCCCGGCCTCAAGGAGGTGACGGTGCGCTACACCTTCAACGAGTGGCTCTCCTTCGTGGACGTCCCGGCCGCCCCCCTGCCCCCCGACCCGCCGGCCGAGCGCTACGGCTTCACCCTGTGCGTCCCGCCGAGCCTGCGGGAGGGCTCTGCCCTCCACTTCGCCATCCGCTACCGCAACGCGCAGGGCGAGTTCTGGGACAACAACGGCGGCCGCAACTACACCCTGCGGTGCTGCGGCTGCCCCGGGGGCGGCCCCGCACCGCCCGCCGCCGCCCTGCCGCCCCCCGCCGCCCCCCGGTACTGACGCCGGCCGGGCGAGGGGAGCCGAGGGGACGCGGCCGGGCAGGGGGAGGCGGCCCCGCACCTCCCGCTCCCGGAGTGAGGCCCGTCTCGGGAGGGAGACAGCCAGCGCGCCGAGGCCACCGTCCCGGAGACTGCCCCAAGTCTGGTGGTTTTTAAGCAGGCACTTCGGTTTTGCCAGCGAAACATGGATGTGTGTAGGCTCGCATTGCTGTGGCTTGTGGAATCGTTCTTTTTTTTTTTTTTTTTTTGAGGGAACAAGGAGAATGAGTAGCGTGGGCTTTGCTTTTCCCCTCTTGAAGTGAATTTTTGAGGTCTTGATTTGGGCTTGACTTCACTTACCCGATTAGTCAGAGATGCACAAGAGCACTCGTGTGAAAACTTGGTGGCGTGTTCGCTACAATTTAACTTAGGATCTCAGTTTTCTCGTTCTCACATCCATTTCAAAGACATAATACTGCAACACCAATGATGTGTTTTGTCTTTTTTTTTATTTTTTTTTTTAGTTCAGTGGACTCTGTAACAATACGATTCACTGTTGTGACCACCTGTCAAACTCGTGACAGGCTTGCATGCCCGTCCCACCTTTGCAGGCAGTCTGTTTTGGGGCTGGATCTGGGGCTGGAGAGGGCTGCTCTGGTTTTTGTCACTCAGCACACTTTGATACCGCTCCCTGCTCCCCAGGCTTGCATGTAGATCCCGTCTGGCTAGTAGCAGCCAACAGGGACTTCTGCAAAGATGTTTTTGCTTAAAATAAACTCGTGACTTCTTTTCACACAACTGACAAGTCGAAAACCAAGACGAAGGAGGAGTTTAAATATTTGCTGCGTTTATCAGGAGAACTTTGGTTACACCTTTGAGTCATGCACTGTGAAGTACAAGATTGTGTCCGTCTCATACACGGTTCTGTATTTTCAGATTTAGGGAGCAGATGCTGATTTGGATGACCTTCTCACTGAGGAGTGACGATGCGATAACAGAGAGGGTGTCCTCAGTAACTAATGAAAACAAGTGCCTTAGTTCAGCTCTCCTTATGTTACATTTTGCACCACATTTCTCAAGTATTTATAATTTATTCAGCTTATTTTGCTACATATTTTTCTGTATTTGTATGTTGCTGGGAAAGGACTTTGTTGTGCATGCAGCTGGACTTCACAGCGCTGGACACTTGAAATGATTTTACAGTCTTCACTGTTGCACTGCAAGCCTAGAGGTTGACTGTTGCTGGTGTCCCAAGTCCTGAAATTAAGCAAAAAGTACCAATGCAAATGGGTTTGTAAGAATAAAAAAAAGTTTTAAAAAAAGTTAAAAAGCTCACCATTACACATTTTTTTTTATTTTTTTTTTTTAACCTGTATAGCAAAATGTAATAGGATATTTCTTAGTTTTTCAACCTGGTGGTGCCCCTGCCCTAATGTGTGCAGTGCCGAGGGGATCATGCTGTTGGTGTGCCACGCTCTGACCAGGGATGTGTCCTGTCTGTAAGCAGTGTTTAGGGCTGTAGCTGGAAATGAGTGCTGTCCTGCCACAGCCACGAGGCAAATTGCTCTGGAAGTCCATGACAGACACTTGTGAAGGCATCTTGTGCAGAGCTGTGATGTGAGGAAGCTTCACTAGCATGGGTGGAAAATAGGTGGGTTTCAGTCGAGTTTTGTTCTGGCTCTTCTGCAGCTTTGACTCTACTTGTTTGCTTTCAATACAGTATCTCAAAATACAGGTTATTATTTTTAATGAAAGAATAGATAAGATATTGTCAGAATGCAGAAAATATCCTGACATGGATGTATGTTCTTCAGGAAGACTTTGGAATATTATTTTCCTTTTTTAAAACTGAGAGATTTCTCAGGTCTTCATTTCCTCTGAAGATGTAAACATCTTAAAGGCCATTATGAGAACATTAGAAAAAATAGCTTGTTTATAAAATTCCCCATATTTGAAAATATTTTCAAGTCTATAGATAACCTGCCTTTTGAGATAGCTGGCCCAGACCCAGAGCTAGCAGGGAATCTATTGTGGGTAAGACTCGAAGCAGAGGGAGCTTCAGACTAAAGGTCCTGCAGTTTTCCTAACATGCGCACTGAAACGGAACCTGTCCTCCCTCCTCCCTGAAAAACCTGCATATAAACCACAATGTGAGAACACAGCCAGAGACAAGGAGCTGTTTTAATTCCTTCAGAAACCATCCTGTTGTTAGACTGTACCAGTTGCTTTGACAACACACAGAGGAAAAGCTCTGTGCAGGCAAACAGAAGGTCGTATGATTATTTTCCAAGCTACACATAAACTCTCGCCAAAACCATGAAAGGTTTTAAGGGAGAATAGCAAACTCTACTACATCCCACACAACTTTGTTTTACATCTATCATGCGTTACAGGATTACAGGATGTTACATGGAATAATCTGGCATGAATTAGCCTTTCTTCAGATTGTTGAGTCAATGACACAGCGTGCTCTTAAGCTGATTTGTGGTGCTAACAGTGTCAAGTTTGATCCTTCATTTACTTTGGATTTCAGGAGCCCATTCCTTGTTCTGTGCTTTGTTTATTAATTGCTTCGGATAAGAAGGAAACAATGCCAAAAAAAGGAGCAGAGGAATTTCTCCTTAAACAGAATTTAAAGAAGTAGCCATATGCTGGTGGCTGTGTCTGGGCAGAGGTGCAAAGCTGGTACCCTGAAGAATCCCAGCTTATTGATAGAGGGCTAAAAATGTTCTCTGATACGCTCTAAGCTATTGGCAATGGGTGTGAAACATCGACATCCAGAACACATAGCATTGCTGTACGCTCTTCAAACACATGATTTGAAATTCAAAATGCAAGAAAGTACTTGCTGAGGCTAAACAGTAAAATCTTTTGAGTGCTTCCAAAAATCAGTGCCAATCCAAAGTCCTGCAAATTGTGTTAATTAAAGAACAACATTTTTGTGCTTTGATAACAGATAAAGTGCTTTTATTTGTTATAAATAATTACTTTTTGTGAAAGAAAGGGGTAACCCCTCTCAGACAAGAATTAAACATACTCAGTTTTAATAGACAGTACATTTGTGTGCTTTTAAGATTTTATAGAAGCTTAGGTTTCTAAAGGAGGTTTCAAAGACAGCCTACACACAGTTGTCTGTATTTTCATAGCTGTGGTTACTGAAGGCTATGGAAATGCAAGGCTTTACCAAAGATTATACTGGGCAGCAGTGTAAAAATCCAGACCAGACCATGTGCATACTGAAGGATGGCAAGCCCGCACCAGCAAAACATGGGGCTGCTGTTCATGGTCATATGTTTGGGATATGTGGCATAATTGCAACATTATTCTCAAAGAGATATATTCAAAATGAAGTAGTTCTAGTTCTGTAAAATCTGAAAGGCCAGTAGAGTAAAATGTTAAGTGAAGCACATCTCTTCTTGTTTGGTTGCATTACTCTTAATGTATTTTCTAAAGATTTGAAGCATAACTTCTGGAGAATGTGTTCATAAACATGGTCCTTCCCCTGACTTTAATAAGAAATGATAAAGATTTATTGCCCTTTTGGAAAAAATCCATCTCCAAAGATTTTCATTTTAAGCATATACCTCTGTCCCCCTGCCATGAATTAAGGGCTTAGGAGAGAAATAGCTGCCAAATGGTTTTATAGGTATATATATATATATAAAAAAAATTTAATATAGTTGAAACTCTATAGGGGTAACTGTGAAGGACATCAAGTTAAATCTTTCTTAAGCAATTTTTTTGCCATGTACAATTGCATTTAAATTCAGATTTAACTGCTTCAGAAAAGGACTGTGAAGCTAAATTTACTTTGGTGTCATGAAGATCTGCAAACTTGTGTGAAAACTACTTCTGTTTTATTTAAAGTTGGGGCTTTCAGTCAGTACTTGGAAAGTCTGGCTTCTCATCCCATTGGCTTCCCTGGGATTTGGATCCAGCCCAAAGTACTGCAGGAAAGTAGGGGAAATGATCTAGGCTTAATTGTCTATTCTGTTCAGAGTCTTGTGTTATGGGGTTAGAACAACATGGCACTGTGATGAATGTTCACCTGTCAAGAGTTCAAAATCTGCTGTCTATGCATGGCAGTAATTAAATCACCTTAATTGTTTTTTCATGATTCTTTTTAAGAGAGGGAAAATTACTTGCCTTGGATTAGCATATTGCCAAAGACTGTTATAAATATTTATAGGATGTACTCTTTCAATAGAAAGCCTGCACATTCTTCACAGGTCTCCATAGTTTTTTCTCTGAACACAGAGGAGTAGTTATTTGAATGCACTGCTTACCATCATTTCCCCCTCTTGCAAAGCTTCAGCAGATACTGGGTTTAACAGTAAAAAAGGTAAGTAGTTTAGAGAGAAGCATCTCTTGCAAAACAGAATCCTTTTGAAGGTGCATATGTTTGTGAAACAGGTTTCAGAGTTCCAAATTTTTTCCTTTTACAGAAAATACACAGTTTTGGAAGAATTATTGGCTTCTCTATGTGTTTTTTTTTTATTCCTGCTTCCACAGTAAGGGCTTGTGCACTATTCTTATATTCTAAAATACTGAAAAAAGACAAAGTAGGAACGTAAACATTCAGTTAAAGAGCTGCACACCTTACTTCTTTCTTTTATAAAGGCTGTCAAACAAAATATTCCTAAGAGTATGAAATAATTTGCCTGTGTTAAGAATGGTGGAACAAAGCGATCAGTATAGTCCTGACTTGAATAATGCCAGTGTTTCACTGTAGATCATTATGGAAAACTCAGGAAAACAGTCGGTGCACAGCTCTTTCATGGCTCTGTTTACGCGTACATATGGTCTGTGCTGGGTATGTGGAGAGACGCGTTTATGTTGCATTACAGGAAGTAAGTTGAGGGGCTGGTGCTTCTCCATAAAATTATTCCACCTGCTGATGTTAAGAGGGTAAAAGTCACGATTTTAAGGCCTGGAAACTTGGTGAAGTTTTTTTATATAGAAATACCTTTTGAGAAGAGTGAGTAGTAAATTAAAATCCTTCTTAGGCTGTTTCAGCATTGTATGTAAAGTGTTCACATGCTTCTCTGCTGGCTTGTTCTCCTCCCAGACAGCTGTACCTCTGGTATATCTGGGTATTTTGAAACCGTGCTTTCCATTAGAGTAAAATTTCTTGAGAAGCTGTAACACACAAGAGAAATGCCTATCCTTTGAAGAGATGCTAATATTAATCAAATGATTACTTTTTTTCTTTCAGAGTGCTGTTTCTAAGTTTATACTGTAAAAGTAACAGCAAACTTCAGTATATGCAAACATTCAAATTTTGGCTTATACTGCTGAGGTCAATAGTTTGCTAAAATGTCAAGATCAGGGAAAGATGAGCATTTTCAATATAATACAAAAGCAAACTTGTTTTGCTAAGACACTGCAGCTTTAGTAAAGATATTTATTGAGCTCCCTTCTATTCTAAGGAAAATATATATACTTTTTATAATAGTGGACATTGTACATAAGTCATGGGACCATTCCTTTGTGTTTTAACTATTCCTGTTGTTTACACTGCTTTGACAAAATCCAACAAAGCTTCTGACAGCGTGCCAAGAGAGATTTAATGAGTATTGCAACGTAAACGGAACTGGTGAAGCACAGAAGGTGCAGCTGTAAGAGCACAGCAACTCCGAGGCTGGACCACAGTGCCAGCCCTCCAGTTCACTGTCTCCATCAGTGACAACGAGCTCATGTGTGATGGTTTTGATCTAGGCCTTCCTGGTGACCAGTTTGTAACCAAGGAAGTGGCCAAATACCCAGTATTCCATACGATTTTTACGTAAACCAGAGCTTGACTTTGGGTTCTTTAATTTCTTTTTATAGTTTTTTTTTCCTTTGCCCTAAGGGAAGAAGGGAGGAGAAGGGGGCTGCTGTCGTGACTTTTGGGCATTTGGCAGGGAGCCAGGTCCAAACTTTCACAACATGCCTAGCCAAGACTAAAAAAAGGGCAAGTGGGCACAAACATAATGCTAAAGTCATCCCAGCCTACAACTGTTATTTCTGTGCTGGACTTCCTAAGCCAGATGTGGTTAGCAAATATTTTCCCTCCAGTTTGTAGGATTTCAAGGATAAAGCATTTGGCAAGCTATCTTTTTATATAGAACTGGGCATAGTATAACAAAATTCCTTCAAATGGATATCAGGCAAGGAAAAAATAATATTTATAGGTATCTCCCAATCGTGTACAACTGATATGCACATAACTAACACTACTTGAGCATGCACTTCAATGTATTTTACAAGGAAAGGAAACATACAGCTCTGTCCAAAACAGGGAACAATCATCTAAAATGCCACGACTGCTGGGTTTGAGTAGTAAATGCCAATACCTTTGCTAGCTTTGCACTTCTGTTAACAAGTTAGATAGCGTTATGCAGACTTTTGGACTGTAGGAGCAGAAGGGTTCTTGTGTTGCTTCTAATAAGTAATGTATAAATAATGTATGATAAGCTGATCGTTAATTTCGAATAAGAACTCATTTTTCCTTGTCTGAGAAAGTGAGCTGCCTTAACCTCTGCAGTACTGACTGGGGAAAGAGGGAAATTACAGAGCCTGATTAATGGAGAAGTAATCTCCATCATACTTCTCAGGGAATGAATAAGACATTTCATATTCCCATGGCTGCATGCCTATATGAGAGCATGTACCATCTACAGCTGTATTCTTGATAAAGAACTTCACTGGAAAGGTACTGGTATTTTGGAAGAACTGATTATGTATTGAAAAGGCCTTTATTTAAAACCAAATGCTTACTTTTTGGTAAACATGGTGAAAACTTAGATTATGTTACCAATGGAGTTGTCCCTCTATAAGTTAGGGCTACACTATTTATAAGGATGTTTATTTTGCTTTCTGGCATACATTCTCAGATCTTGAAATGGTATGCAGTGCTTGTTCCAGTAATTAAGCTGTTTTAAGCAAGGATTTTGCATGTACTGTTTTAGGGACCAAGTTTCTTTCAGTATAAAACTGGCAGCCTTTCCAAGACTGTGTCATCTAAGACTATAAGATGTTACTACATTTCTGTGAGCTCAGTGGAAGCTTAAATAGCAATCAAACCTTTCTTCCCCTGCGCTTTCACCATTAAGTGCACTTAATTATCCACTTGTAAATACGGAGATTTAAAATACAGAATATAATGTATTTTACCTATTAGAATAATTAATTCCATTTGAGTAAAATGTTCATTAAAAGCAATTTACATTGCAATACTTAGACATCTAATAAGAAGAGAATTGTTAATGTATTTACCTCTTATCTGAAAGTGAGAATGGAGGCTACATTTGTAGTCTTAGGTACACGTAGTATTTTATAATGTACACTTTATTGTCCATGAAATGCATCAGTATACATTTCAATCTAACTGTACAAAATTGTAAAATTTTAATTTTACTTTAAAGCCACTTTAAATGGCAGTGAGGAATGGGAGTTTGTTCTAAATTAGACACTATAATTAGACACTTTGCTTTAATAATGTTATCACAGAACACGAAGAACACACAAAAAAGTAAGTTCTTAAGAAAGATGAATTTTGTGAAGAAAGAAAAATAAGGGGGGGTTAAAAGCCACAGGGTTATGGAACTAGTTTTGAGTTTCTGTTTCTCTACTTAAAAAACCCCACAACAATCCACTGAAATAGAAGGAAACTTTTTTCTGTATGCCATTAAAATAGCTTTGCAGTACTTAATTTTTCTGCACATTTCTCATAGAAAACAAACTTAAGCACATTAATGACTTGAGCAGAACCTGAGCAGAAATTTTGCTTGCTTTTGTTTAAATTTATAGTCTTAAAATTGTTGGGTATTCTACGGATTTAATAATAAACAATAAAATGCGATACCGAGTGTTCCACTTTTGCTAGGCAAAGCTTGTTGTCGATTTCTGACTTACAGCACTTGAGTTACTGTTATAGTTAGCTTATTTTTCTTCTGCAAAATTCAGGAGCTTTGTGAAAAAGGGAACCTCAGATAAAGTGATGTAGTGCTTTCTGATAATAGCTGCACCTCAACAAATTAAAGGACTCAGGGGTGAAAATGCATTTTAAAGCTTCCAAGCCTCACTAATGCAAGTCTTACATTTTGCTAGTCTGATCTGTTAATTGTTAAAAGTAGGACAAGACTGGTTATTAATTATTGGAAATTAAAGAAGTAATGAAATTTTTATGTTACCTCCTGAAATGTCAAGGGATGCTCTTCAAAGAAACCACAGAATTCAGCCTGTGATATTTGTAAGTATCGAGGTCCAGGAGACAAAAATTCTGTTCATCTCCGGTTTTCATATTTAAAATAAAATATGTACTTAGTAATTTAATTCAGATGCTGTAGACTTTGAAATGCAACTGGATCAATAAGAACTTAGCAACTGGTTGAGGGATTTTAGATCTTGAGGAGTTCTAAATCTAACATGATTTTCATGGTCAGTGAGAGACGAAGTCAACAGCAGAATAATGTATCTGATTACAGGTAGTTTAATGAAGTTTTATTGTCAAAGTAGGGTAGGAAATATTCCATCACATGGAACATACAAGCAAACACATTTCAAGACTATCTTACATATTATTTTAAATCACAGCCATATATCTTAGAACGTGTGAACCACTAGAAAATAGTACTTTGGTTGCCAAAAAATGAGTCTCTCAGGCATTTCTTCTGCTGAACAGAAAAGCTCAGACATGTGCAGTGAATTTATGCTTCTGTACGTGGCACTGTAGGATGCTGAAGATGGTCCAGTGTTGCTTCAGGATCAGAGGCTTCTCACAGCTATGTGTTTCCTGGACTCTCAATAACCAATTTCTGCGTGGCGTACAGCTGGCCAATAGTAACCTGAAATCAAACCAAAATATCAGAAAGCCGAAACTGGAAAGTAACCAGGTTATAATTTAGGCCTCGCAAGAGCGATTAAAAAACCCCCCAAGAATTGAGTAGCCCATATATTAAGCTTTCTCATAATTACATTTTTCTTTCTATTAGCACTTCTTTTTGTAAATAATACTGTTGTCTAGACCTTAAGAAACATAACCTATACATAACATACCTGCACATATAAAATCTTGAAATAATGACATTGAGGAATACTGTTCGAAGTCTTATATTAAAAATTAACATTAGAAGTTATTACAGATGAAAAGCAAGCAGGTTTTGTGTTTAAAAAAATGAAAAGAAGAATATAATGAAAAATCAAAATATGGATATAGTCAGCAGATATTTCTTATGCTTTTTGGGTGGAGAGCCTAGATATAAATTGTGTGGCATGGTATTATTTTTCATTTCCTTTGGAACCCTACTTTAATTTGCCTTACAAACAGTGAAAACAGTTAAACAGTTGTTAGTTCAGCAGTAGCATTTTACACACACTGGAACTACCTCTTGTTCATGAGATGGTATTCAGACCTTCTATATTTGGGCTTTCTAGTGCAACAAGGAAATGAAAAATTGCAAAAATGCAACACTGATGCTTTGATTCCTCTTGTTCTTTAGTACTTTCTGCCTTATAACTTTAGTAAATTGTAGTCAGGTGTGCAGTCATCATACACAGCTCTTCGCTTAGCAGCTGAGATGTGGAAGGAAGATGTTTCATGCAAGTAGGGTAATAAAAGCAGGAGAAGGCAACATTTATGTTTAAAAGTATGAATTCTGGAGTCTAATTTTTAATATCTATTATGCCCTTTCTTGCCCCTGGCTTTCTCCCTAAGGCCAGGGTACACAGTAGCTCTGTGTCCTTTTCACAAAAAAATCATATATTTAATTATGGGATTAGGACAAAAAAAGCTAGATGCTTAATTATACTAAACACAATATATTTAGTAGAATTTAATACTGTTCAAATTAAGCCTGACAGCAAGTCAGGCTCTCAAACTAGTAAAAAATTAGGGGAGGAATTTTTTTTGGCAGTTTCCATTTACCATTTTTGTGGGGGAAAAATCCTGGGCACTCTTAAATAGAAATTTCTCATCTATGCCCACACTCACATAGAATGTGAATAATATTGCCTTTTAGGAAATGAACTATTTCATCTTGATAAACAGCCTTGTCTGAAACTTGTAACTCATTGATTTTAATCTTGAAATATTTATTACAAGGGAGCATTTATGAGCTGCTCCATAGGAACAGAAGTTTTCCCTGCCAGAAAATATTCCCTTCTTTTGGCACTCTAAGTTACTAACTGCATATGAACAACTCTGATTATTTTTGAAATTACTTATGAAGTGTGTTGCATACAGAATATTTTAAACAAAGGCTGTAAGCAACTGTGGCATGTGTTACCAACAGAAATTTTAAGCTGTCAACAAGTGTTACTTGTCAAAGAGAACTCACTGCTCTGGGTTATGTGTCAGGCTATACACTTTAGTTGCTGCCTTACCACAAACCATGCTGTAGTACTTAATTTTTGTATACTGTGTTTTGGAGCCCAAAGAATCTTTAATCCTTTCCCACACAGTAGAGCAAATTTAATGGGAGGCTCAGAGGGATTACAAAAATGCTGAAACCTGAATTGCATTTTTTTTTCTCCCTCAACTGGGGAGATAGATGAGACTGAGTACGTGACTTCTCAGTCAATCATATTCAGCTGGGGCAGACGGCTTTGTAGAAGAAAGATACGAGCTGCTGTTTGCTGACCCTGTGCCAACAGGTGACATTATCTACTGCTGCACCTCTTGACTCAAACGCAATAAACCCACAAGATTTATGTGTGAGCTGCTTCCTTAGTAAAGCACGGGCGTGCAGGCATTTCAGAGAGCACAGAGCCACCAGTGCTGTGCTGTCAGCCTTTGCTGGGCTGCTGCAGCTTGCCTGCTCTGGTGCCTCCCTTCCAGAAGCTATGCCATGGCATTTTAAGCCGAACTTTGAAATGTAAGGATTTTTTTAAAGTCATTAGCCTTGAATTTCTAACTTTATGATCAAGCCTTTCCCATGTGCTTTAGACAAAACAAACAGACCTTCCATTTATAGCTGCTGAAAAATTCGCATCTATAAACATCCACTGCCTCAGCAGAAGGACCGCACCGGTATTTACACACAGACACTCATTTACCCTCCCAACCAAAACAGCTTCTTACAGTGTCCTCACAGATGCCAAGTCTAAAGAAAGCCCTTCAGCAGCAAACATCAATGTGGATCGTTCTCTGAAACTGGAGACTTAAGTGGCTACCTATTGTGTTCTCTTCTCATAATGCATGTTTGTAGCTTGTACGCCGCATGCCATTTAGTCTTCTGGTAGGTGGCTGGAAGCCAGTGCATAGGTCAGTGTCAGGGTATTTTCATTAATCACAGGAAGCTTTTGGGGAAAAAGGCTTCTACCATTTGTTCCGCAACTTTATTACCAAAAATTTTGTTTACCTCTTTAAGGTAACATATTGCAATTATATTCTGCAGGAAAGAATGCAATAATGAACCATGTTGTCATCAGGAGAAGACAATAAATAGAAATATTAAAAGCTGCTTTTCATTCTCTTTCCAAATTATATGATGTTTGAGTTCTGCCTACAAAACTACATACTTTTTAATCTTGCAAGCCCAACCTTCAAAACCTGACAATTTGTCCTTGTTCAAAGATTTAGCACAAGTCTACATGGTCAGCTGTTTCTTGTGAACTTAAAAACTTACTATTGCCTTCTGTCTGAATCCAGGAGGTGACTTAGTGCTTCATAATGGCATTTATCAGCAGATGTGAGATTACAAATGCTGTGAGATTACAAAAGAAATGACTGAATAGTTACTGATCCATCCTGTAACCAACTATTCCCTGGTTATTAGGTGTTTGTGTGTTCATATGGAAACAGTGCTTTTACTTTGTTGCGGAAAAGCAGCAATCACAGAAATAAGCCGCAGACAACAAAGTATCAGTGGAGTAGATCTTGCAGATCTATTGGCACTACTTGCAAAATACTATTGGAAGATCATCTTCAACTTTTGAAGATATGTGACATGGTTTGTTTTTTTTATTCATACAAACATTTTTGCAGCTCAGAGCTGGGGTAGAAGTGACTGCTTCTATTTTTGCCAGGCTAAAAGTAAGTTGGACAGGTTTTTAAAAAAATTATTCTGATTTGCCTCACTCATTTTAGAGTGCATAGTTCTGCTCTGAAAAGTATGATGGCATCTTTCCTTGACAGCTCTGTATAAATTCCAAATGGATGTCTACTTCAATAATCACCATATTTCCCCCTCCTTAGTTGTGTTGGCTATTCAGTATAAAGGTGTCCAGGCATCTCTTTTTCCCACATACCTTACAGTATTGTAATTATGTGGTATATAGCCTGCAAAATCTAACAAATCCTGCTGAGCCCTGACGAAGATACTTTTTCTCATTGTCACTGAACACTCATCCTTATCTTCCTGCCAACCCTGACAATCTCTGAACTACTAAGTACCTGCTTGGGTGAAGACTCACTGAGAAATTTCAATGTGAATAACCTAAAATTACTCATGGAAGTAGCTAGGCAGCAGACCTGAGGAAAGGCAATTCCCAAAAGGCAAAGTACAGCCCAAGTATACGCCCACGTGGGTGGAGCAGAATAAGAATGTCCACAGCTTCAGCAAACAAATGCAAAGTCAAAATTAAAAGAAATTGGACTTGTAATAGCTCTTAGCAGGATGGACATGCGAGAAGGAAACGCAACAACATAGGTCTCAGCCTTTGAAGGAATCTTAGCACCTTGCACAGGGGGTGACATATCTTGATTGAGTCTCCAGCACACAGAAACATCATCTTTCTAACTGTAACTTGGGTATGTTCTTATGTAAATCAATGCAATATGGCATTAAGGCAATAATGCAAAATTAGCAAACTGTCTTTGTTTATTTAATAACTTTCCCCTCATTAAAATATAGTTGCTGATGTAATCTCTAGGGAATAATTTTCTGCCCTCAAAAGCAAACCAAGCCCTGTTTTTTTTTCACGCCACTGTTTATTTTTCAATGGCAGACAAAAGCAGGAGCAGTCTAACAGGAGAGGGGGTGCAACACTCTTCACCATATGTAGAATCAACTTAGTGGTAAAGACAAGGCCTAAACACATAAAAGTGCCACCGCAGCATAACAGCATGAAAACACTGTAGTACAGCAATTCCTTTAGCTCTCAGTTATTTAAAAATTGATCTCCCGGGAGGGTCATCACTGGAGAAGTAACAAAGGTTTCCTGTTTTTCTCAAAGAAATGCAGATGGTAATTAAAACTGATACACTACAGATATTTTTACATATTACACGTTTACATATCTAATATATATGTATATAGACTGTTATATGCACAAGTATAAATATATAAAAGATATATTAAAACCCCACAATCTCTAGATAGTAAACGTAGCCATCCCCTCTCTTTTGTTACAAATTTGCAGGCAAGAAATGGTTACCTTATAGCAGCCAGGGATCACATAAATATATTTTCATGGTTCTTTATTACGGAGAAAAAGGAAAAAGTCCTGTTTATCACTATATTTGTACCACACACACACACACAAATATACTAAACCAGATTGTTTCTTCCTGTTGCACCTGAAAAGTTGACAGGTTTATCTCACAGGCCCCCTGCCGAATCTTAACTAGGAAGAAAACTCCCCAATGACACTGCAGCCATATCACATATACTGCTGCCAATCTGGGCCTCTAACACCATATGAAGAAATTACCCATTCACATTTTCTTGTACTATGACTATCAAATGCTTCTTAAGTGAATGCTGACACGAACAGAAACACAGAAGAATAATGATTACTTTTAAGAGCTGGCAACAGTGTTATAAGTTGTTTACCTACTATGTCTTGTGTTGGATGATGACAACCAATTTCCAACCCTATTGGAAATGTAAGTGAAGTGGTTATT